ACAGGGACCACGGTTTGATCCCCCAGCACCACATGCCAGTCAGCTGCGCCCCCTGGTGGGCTGAGCTGGCCACACACACAATAAATAAATGTTAAAAAAAAAATACCTTTACATTTGTTTTTTGTTTTTTGTTTTTTTTGCGGAACCAGGGTTTGAACTCAAGCCCTTGCGCTTGCCAGGGAAGCGCTTATTCTACTGAGCCATCTCCCCAGCCCCCATGTGATCTTACTTGGATATAGAGTGTTACAGAAATAGTCAAGTTAAAATGAGGTGGCACACACTTGTAATCCCTGCACTCAGGAGGCTGAGGCAGGAGGATCACTCCAAGTTTGAGGCTAACCTGGGCTCCACAGTGAGTCCAAGGCCAGCCTGAACTATGTAATGAGACTATATCTGAAAAAAAAAAGGGGGGGGATATTAAGACAGAGCCTAATCCAATGACTGGTGTCCTTATAAAAAAGAGAAATTTTGACACAGAGACAGACACAGAGGGAGGACAAGGTGAAGACACAGTAGAACTACCAAGACAACCGGTGATCATCAGAGGCTAGAAGAGGCAAGGGTGGAGACAGGGAGAAAGAACACTAATATCTTGCTTTGAACTTTTAGGCTTCAAAACTGTGAGCATAAAAAAAAAAATAACTGTGAGCATAAATTTCTGTTTCCGGTCATTTGTTACGTCAGGAAGCTCTAGAACAATTCATACAAAAGGGAAAATTGGGCTGGTGAGATAGCTCGACAGCCCAAGCGCCTACCTGGCAAATGCAAAAACCTGGGTTCAAGCCTAGGCACCTGGAATCGGGCATGGTGGCACACAGGAACACTACAAGTCTAAACTGTGTAATGTGACCCTGTCTCAAGTAAACACATAAATAAGTAATTTTTTTTAAAATGGAAATCACTGAGTGGGGGCAGTAAGTGTTGCAGATTTCGACTAAAAGAACAATATAGTGGAGGCTGTAGAGAGCAGGAAGGAGTCAAACTGCTCGCTAGACAACACTCAACGATGTATTTTGTTTGTTTGTTGCAAGAATTAAATTCAGGACCTTACAGTGGGCCAGGCAGATGCTGCGCCGCTGATCTATATACCCAGCCCTCCAACTATGTTGGAAATTGGCTCAATGTCCCAAAACACAGATAAGGGGGCTGGGGAGATGGCTCAGTGGAATAAGTGCTTCCCTGGCAATCACAAGGGCCTCAGTTTGATCCCCGGTATTGCAAAAAACGACAAAAAAAAAAAAAAAAAAAAAGAATACTCCAAAACACAGATAAGTTGACCAACCTCCTTACCTTCCTTTCTCTCTTTCTCTCTTTCTCTCTTTCTCTCTTTCTTTCTTTCTTTCTGTGGTACCAGGGATTGAACTCAGGTCGCTACGCTTGCCAGGCAGGCAGTTATTCTACTGAGCTATTTTCCCTGCCATCTTTTTTCCAAACGCCATATTCCATTCACCCTAAATTTCATGGAACCGGAAGGACAGCTTCACATCTCTGACATCAGCCTGGGTCCGGTCTAGGGAGAGGAAGAAAGTTGGGGGTCTGGCTGGTGCTTCCAATTTTTCTTGAATTAAATACATCTTTAATTTGTACGTGCATACATCAATGTGCACACATCTTTTATCAAGTTTTCCGATTATTTTTTCAGATTAACTCCTACAAGTTACTGGGACAAAAGGAATAATATTTTAATTTTTAATAATGCTTTAAAATTTACAAAAAAAACTAAAGCTTTTGCCATTAGAGTCCACTCCAGAGAAGGCCTACGGTGTTGGTTTAAAATGATTTGATTCAAACTATCTCTATATTCTCTCCGGGCACCAGTCTCAAAATCTTACAGTGAACGTCCAAATTCCTCCGCCTATGAGCACTTGCGACTGCGCACAAGCGCTCAACTGTGGGTCCCCAGCTGCAGGAAAACTTTTGACACACCCCCAAGTACCACCTCTTTAAATTTTAAAACGATGGCGCCGACCAATGAATGTTCAGGTTTTACCCCCGGAACCCAGACTCCGCCCACATCATGCTATCGACCAATCAAGCTGAGGTTTTCTCCGCCGCCTTACTAATCATCTTCAAAAATGAAAGCGTCACGTAATTTACGTAGGGAACGTAGCCAATGAGAACTGACGCTGGGAACTAGCTCCGCCAATCGCACCAATATTTGGTGGAGCGCGGGAGACTTTCGACCAGGAAAGAAGTCAATGGCGCTGGTTTCCTGAAGCGAGTGTTTTTGGAAGAGGGGCGCGCGCCGCGGCTGCAGCCCCGAGGGACGGCAAAGCGGCCGAAATGGCTTGCTGTCACAAAGTGATGCTGCTTCTCGACACAGCGGGTGGCGCTGTTCACCAGAGCCCAGTCCGGCGGGCCGCCCTGCGCCTCCTCACCTACCTGGGCTGCCGGTTCGGCCTGGCCAGGGTTCACTGGGCCTTCAAGTTCTTTGACTCCCAGGGCGCGCGAGGCCGGTCCTCCCGCGCGTCCGACTTCCGCGAGTTGGGGACACGCTCCTGGGAGGAGTTCGAGGAGGAGCTGGAGGCCCGGCTTGGGTATCTCGCGCCGGGCGCCCACCTTCCTGGCCCGGCGTCGCGGTCCAGTCACACGCACAGCGCCCTGATGGAGACGCTGCTAGACTACCAGTGGGACCGGCCGGAGATCACATCGCCCACGAAGCCAATCCTGCGGAGCAGCGGCCGGAGATTACTGGATGCCGAGAGCGAGGCCAAGGAGGCCGAGGCCGCGCTCGGGGGCCTGGTGAACGCCGTCTTCCTCCTGGCGCCCTGTCCACACTCGCAGAGGGAGCTGGTGCAGTTCGTGTCGGGCTGTGAGGTCCAGGCCCAGGGTCTGCCGCCCACTCCTAAGCAGGTGATGGAGAAATTGTTGCCCAGGAGAGTCCAGGAGGTCATGATCGACCGACAGATCACCTTCTACTGGGTAGACATCACCGAGTGGTCCAAGGTAAGGCGACAACGATCTCGGGTGTAGTGCCCGGGGCTCCCTTGACTACTCAGGACTCAGAAGGTCTGCAGCGCACGCAGGGCCAGAATGTGAGAAACTTGGATGGCCACGGGTCCTTTCAGGAGAAGTCTCATGATCACAAACGAATCCGATGGTTTCCAAGGCTCATGGGAAACCGTAAGACTCTGTTTAGGTACCTTTTTGCTTTCCCAGACTTTTATCTTCCTCCCTACGACACCGATTCTAGCATGTGGAAGAGAGCCTTGGCTAGCCAGTCACCAGGTCTTGTCTGCTTTTGTCTTTACTTGTGCTGTTCAGTCTGCCTGGCCCACCAGTGCTCCCCCTTCTAAGCCAGTCCAAGCCTCACTCAACCTTTAAGACCACGTTTCCAGGCTTCCCCCCACCCTTCCCTTAGCAGTTCTTTCATATTCCAACTGCACGCATCTGTCATTTTCCATCTAATGTAAAAATACCTTGAAGAAGAGTGCTTTGTATCCCTCACAGAAGTGCATTAATGTGGGTGTCCCATAAATGTTTGTTGGCCTATTGAATAAATGCTTGCAAACTTAAGGACTCAAATGGCTAATAGGGTTTTTCTGTTGAGGCAGTGAGGTCCCCTATTTCTATTAAGCACTGTAAGTGTATTTTTATTTTCATCATGTCCTGTTATCTTAGTTGACAAGTACTCATTAATAAGCCACTACACTGAGTAGGATACATTCTACCTTGCTTTGGCTGCTAGGAAGATAGAGG